CCCCCCCCCCCCCCCAATACGGTCAGAGGGCAAGAACAAAGCTAAACTTGACGCAAAGTCTTTGAAAAATAGCGCACGCGAGGCTGATGGAAGAACTGCGACGTTTAAAGTGTGTTTGCGTTTAATGTTGCGGCTTTTTCTGTCGCCGTGTTGTCGCGCGCTTTTCAAAGCTGTTGACTGTAGTAAAGGGGCCTGTGTGTGTGTCTGTGTGTGGTGTGTGTGTGTAACGGTGCGGCACTCTTTTGGGAATGCCCACAGTCCCAACAAATGCGCCTTTCAAGTCGACGGAAACGGTCGAAAGCGGTGCGTAAAAAAAGAGCAGATAAACTAACAGGAACTCGGTTTTTAATGCTTTTTTTTTTGTTTTGTAATGAATGTGACTTTGTTTGAGGCGTTTAAATGTAGATTGGGGGGGGGGATGCAAATAAATTTGGTGTAGCCTATGAGCAGCTCAGCAGCCTGTGACGTGATATGAATCCAGATGTTGTTGACTCCTGGGGGGCAAGTCTGAACCTGTGCGTAAAAGGCTCCTCTGGCCTCTTTTTTGTTCTTTCTTTGAGTGTAAAAAAACTGATAGATGGCACTCTCCTTTCATATGAACATCTGCATTAAACATTTGTTAGAAAAGTAAATAAATGTCTTTTTTTTCTCTGTTTCCAGTGAGTCACAATGTTGATGCTGGCAGGGATCGTTGTTCTGCACATTACTGCAGTCATCCTGCTTCTGGTGGCCACCATTGATAATGTGAGTACTTCCTTTTTTATTCAACTGCCATCGTAAAAGGCGGGAACTCGTGGGATTGTCTGTCAGTAAAATATCTCATGAATCACTGCATGGACGGCCACTACAAATAATTGACATTAGCACAACACAAAAATGACTGTAATTCATTCAGTTTCACAGGCTCAGAGCTAAACTCTGGTTTGGTTTTATAGGTGAGACGGTTCCACAACACACGCTAACAAACTGATACGTTTCCATTTACTATATGAGTCGACTATCAAATTAATGGCTCCAACATTTTACAGATACTGAGAGAAAATTTAGTGTGGTATTCATCCTCAACACATTCCTCGTGCATTTATAAATCATGAAATATCTTTGTTTAAAACGTTAGCATTTAAGGTGGTAAGAAATCCTTCAACTCTATCATGTCTTCTTTAACTCGTGTCTGTGTTTAGACAAAATGTTTTAGCAAGTTCACAAACGCCAGCCCAGAATCTCCCTTTGTTTCAGTACACCTCAAGTATCTCAGCCAGTGTGTGTGTGTGTGTGTGTGTGTGTGTGTGTGTGTGTGTGTGTGTGTGTGTGTGTGTGACTGT